GCTAGATCTAGCACTAGTACTGGTGGTGTTGTTCGCGCAACGAAATCACAACGTCGTGCTGTACATCTGTCTCAGTGCAAGGGTCTGAATCAACACACAGACTGGTTTTTATACTTTCAACAAACACTCACACATGCATACAAATCAAAATACAACACTTTGAACTTTTATTTTTGTTGTTGTGAATTTCATTCTACCTGTCATGTCTCTGGAAATGTTTTGGAAAATCAAATTCATGCCAATTTTTACAAAATCATATAAATTAAAATATTAGACTTAGACGACTTTAGTTTTTTGTTTTAGATTAAGCTTGAATGTTACTTTACTGTGTCAAAAAATAATTACAATAGAGTAATTCTGAGAGTTGTGGTGATTTATTGAAATACTCAGAAAAACGCCAGTCTTCAACGCTTGTGACTGGTGAAAGGACCCAATAGTAAGTGAGTTAAACGAAGTGTATACAGACCCGGTAACCGGGAACAAAGTCTCAAAGTATACAGACCCGGTAGGGGAACTCTTTTGTGATTTCGGAAAGTTTCAACACCCAGACCCGGTAGAAATCTAGTGTGTGTGTGTGTGTGTGTGTGTGTGTGAGAGAGAGAGAGAGAGAGAGAGAGAGGTGCTAGCAAAATGTATGACATGCCCGAGTTGGCAGGAGGGAAAGAGAGAAAGATAGAGTGGGAAATAGGCGGGGACAAAGACAGACAGAGACAAACAAAGAAAAAGAGAAGGCGAGCGATACACAGAGGAGAGAGAGAGAGGCAGAGAAATAGAGAGGGTGGCTGCTCGATTGAAATTAAGACATTGTTCTTTTCTTCAAATTGTGATTCCTCCTACTCCAAAACGGAGGAAAAACGATCGTTCATCGAAAAGACATCCGACATCGAAAAGACATCCGCAATCTAGATCTAGGCTAGCCGCGAAACTAGATCAAGTGAAAAGATTTATGTCTGTCTGCCTAGATCTAGATCTAGGCCATAGATATCTAGAAGAACCTAGGTCAACCCTGAGCCAAGAGGGCGCTATAACTCCCCGAAATCACAAAAGAGTTCCCCTACGGGTCTGTATACTTTGTGACTTTGTTCCCGGTTACCGGGTCTGTATACACTGCCATTTTTAAAATCTGTTTTTTAAACGCTTGTATTCACGGGAGGTGGGTTCTTTCCCCTTGATTTGGATTTAAGGCCCTTAGGGTGTAATGTGTTAAATTTCATGTGCGAATACAATTCCATAGTATTCACACACCCTGGGCGAATAAACTACAGCCTTAAATATAATGAACGGTGTAGCTGATCAGGTAGGCACAGCGAAGCACAGCCGCCCCCCCCCCT